TTGTTCAAAGGAGCCTGCAACCACTGTTGGAGGGGAGTGCCCTTTTGTTGATGATTAATTTGCCCAACTACATAGGCCTCGTGGTCTCGTTAGCCTTAGTTGTAATATCAATCTAAAGTACACTAAAATGTGTACCAAGTAATGCTACCCCATCCATCAGAGAATTATAGCTTTTATTTAGCACATGGCATTTATGTACCATTTTTATTTAAGGAGCTCAGTGGTGATGGTTGCTTTGTGTCACTGACTTCATTTCATAGGAGTAGATATGTGGTTTAAAGGTCTGTCCCTTTCCTTCCAGTGAGCTTTTTTTGTGGTCCCAATATCTATGTATATGTAGCTTCTTGATTATGAGGATATGAAACATCACTAGTAGTTAGTTTCTGCTCCATGGCAGCATTTGTGAGTAAGACCCCAAGTAAAGTCACCATGTCAGTTTAGTTCTGGAGGCATTAGTTGATGTCACTTACCTTTGTGTGGCTTCTTCTCTATGATGACAGATGGACACCAGTTAACTTTGTTCCAGAAATCTGAATGTATAACTCTGGGTCTGATCATTCTCAAGATTTTGACAGACTCTGTGATTTGGGATGCTGATTACAAGGTGAAGAGACCATTTTTCAGTTCAGTATGTCTAGCCCTCCCTCTGAGATGTTTACCCTCCCAATTTGTGAGGCACACGTGGCTTTGTTACTTGCTTTAACAGACTTGGAACCAGTTACATAGTATCTCTGAATCCCAGTTTCCTCATCTATATAACAGGGAAATTAACACATATCTTGATTGAGGATATTGAGTACAAGGCACACAGAAAAGGATTAGTAAATAGTAGTTGTCCAGCTGAGGAGGAGAGGGGCTTATAGTTACTTCATTATGTCATATTTCCTTGTAACAACAGAAGATCTCTTCCAGTGGTAGAAAGTCTTCTGCAATGTCTGCAGGATGGGAATCCTGGAGAATGTCAGAGATGTAACCTATGGCATCAGGTCATAAGCATAGAGTGTAGAATATCACTAACTCTAAAAAGAGAGCAGAGAAGTCCTGAGCAATGTGTCTCAAAGGGTTTTAGCCAAAAGTGTTGAGGGGTGACAGAGGACTGACCTTCATTCATACAACTCTCGCTCATTTTGAGCATCCACTCCTGGTGAGGCTGTGTTCTAGGCTCTGAGGATAGAGCAATGACCAGCTTGGAGAAGGTTTCTGCTTTCATGGAGCTTCTATCCCAGTGGGGTATGGGAATAGGAGGAAGGAAGATCTTCCATATAACAACCCAGAAGAATGATGGAGAGTAACAAGTGGAGTGAATCAAGGAGTGTCAAGCAGGAGAGTGTTCTCCTTTAGAGTGATGCCCAATGGGCAGGGCTGATCTGGTCGCACACCTTCAACTTCAGGGGCCTGTGGGGAGGAGAGCAGGCAGGATGCAGATGCGAGAAGACAGGCTGGACAAAGGACAAAGACCCTGTGATATCAGCAACATGATGGGCTCTTGATGGTCTTACCGGGAAAAATTGGGGTTCTTTGTCATTGTGTGACACCTGCGAACTACCATTTTGACAGCTCTTCCTCCCCTGTTAGCAAATCGGGTTTCTTTAGGGCCAGCCTTAGGTGAGCAGAAGGCCTCCAGTGACTTTACAGGTTTTCTTTTCCTTCAGCCTGTAGCTTGCCTGTGCATGTCTGCATAGTTGAGAAAGGCCTTTACAGTAGGTATGATAGGAGGCCAGGCTTGGAGGAAGGGTAAGATTTGGCAGAATAAGAGTGTGGAAGATGCAGAAGGGAATAGGAATGGCGGAGTTAGAGAGAAGATGAACAGTGTCCTTAACGCGGTAGTGACAGCTCTGGTGTAGAGTACAGTAACAGTGGAAACCCAGCTTCACTTCCTCCTTGTGTCCCACCTGCTTCTCAAAGAGCTTTGAAACCACCCACATGTAGAAACACATGGGAGAACCACTCATTCATCCTACAAACATTTACCGATTGCCAGTAACGATGCTACAAAGGAGGCTGGGCTACTGAGATGGAGTCCCCTGACCTTCCCTCGGGGGAGACAGACATGAAAACAGTTAACTGTAATATAATAACAGACAAGGGGAAAGAGGATTAATTCTGTCTGGTTCAGTTTCAACAGGGAGCTCCCAGAGGAGGTGCTTTTTGGCTCAAGAAGGATGAAAAGATGTCAGTGATTATGGGAAGAGGAGCCTGCAGGTCAGGCACTCCTGGGCAGGGGCCATGGCAGGAACAGATCAGGGGGCCTGGGAGCGTGTGTTGTGGTTACAGCTCAGGACTCACGGCTCCTGTGGGCACAGTGATGGGCAATGGAAGGCAGGTGTTAAGTGCTGAAGCTGGAGAGGGTCACTGAGACCAAGCCAGGCTTTATTTTTATAGACAGGAGGGGTCATGGGTTTGGTTTGGTTTTGTGAAGCAACAGTTTATCAGTCATCTTAGATACCTTTTGGCTTAAAATGAAAAGGTTTTTTAAGAACTTTTTTTATTTTTAATTTTTTTTATGTTTATTTATTTTGAGAGAGAGACAGTGTGCAAGCAGAGGAGGGAGGGAGAGAGAGAGAGAGAGAGAAAGAGAGAGAGAGAGGGAGAGAGAGAGAGAATCCCAAGCAGGCTCCACACTGCTAGGGCAGACCCCGATGTGGTGCTTGAGCCCACGAACTGCAAGTTCATGACCTGAGCCAAAATCAAGAGTTGGACGCTTAACTGACTGAGCCACCCAGATGCCCCCAAAAATCTTTTTATTTTGACTTTGTTTTTTTTGTAGAGCCCATCTAGATACACAGCAAGATTCCTCAATCCAAGGTATAGAGGTTGCCCATGTATCTGCCCACTTCCACCCTGACCCCACACATTGATACTTCCTGCCCCTCAACATCCCCCACCAGAGTGGTACTTTTGTCTAATGGGTGAATGTACACCGACCCGTCATAATCACTCAGAGTCCTTGTTGGCATCAGGATTCACTCTTGGAGTTGTACATTCTATGAGTTTGGACAAAACTCTAATGACAGGTGTCCATCATTATGGAACCACACAGAATATATTCACTGTCCTACAGTCCCCCGTTCCCTGCCCATTCCCTGGCAGCTCTTGACCTGTTTACAGACTCCATAGTTTTGCTTTTCCAGAGTGTCACATACTTGGAATCATACAGCATGGTGCCTTTTCACATTGGCTTCTTTCACTTAGTCATATGCCTTTTAGGTTCCTCCATGTCTTTTCATGACTTTGTAGCTCATTTCTTGTTAGCTCTGCGTAACACTCCAGTGTCTGGCTGCACCAGAGTTTGTCTATCCATTCACCTACTGAAGGACATCTTGATTGCTCCCAAGTGTGGGCAGTTATGAATAAAGCTGCATAAGCATCTGTATGCGTGTTTTTGGGTAGACATAAATTTTCACCTCCTTTGGGTAAATCCCAAGGAGTGCAATGGCTCAATTACATGATAAGGATATAGTTAGTTTCGTAAGGACCATAGATTTTTAAACAGGAAAATAGTTGACCTTTATTATAGAAAGCAAGTTTGTAAATGAGCCTATCATTCCCCCCCCCCACCCACCACTGCTTATCTCTTGTCTTGTGTGTCTAAATGCTGAGAGAAAACCACCCTGTAGATGAGTTGCCACCATAGCAAATAAAAATATCCAAAACTTATATTCTTCCTTCTCCAACACTATCTTTATTTTGTTTCACACAAATCTGCGTGTGTGTACTATTAGACACCTCTCAATATCTTCAGTCAGTGTGAAATTATGTAGATTTCATTCGTTCTTCATGGTACTTTATGTGCCAGAGAAAATATTTCTTTATGTTTGTATATTTAATAGCATGAAAGAATAAAATACATCTTTTAAAAGGTGTAGTTTGATCAGAGGTAGTTTAAAGTCAAATGTGTGTATACAGCTCATGCAAAAGAAAAAAACAGAAGCGCCTTCTTTAGGAAGATCTACTTTGTGTTTCAGATGATATTTTTTAGCCTTCTTAAGTGAATTTAATTTTTTTAATGTTTATTTTTTAAAGAGAGAGACAGAGCATGAGCAGGGGAAGGGCAGAGAGAGAGGGAGACACAGAATCAGAAGCAGGCTCCAGACTCTGAGCTGTCAGCACAGAGCCCGACACAGGGCTTGAACTCATGAACTGTGAGATCATGACCTCAGCTTGAAGTTGGATGCTTACCGGACTGCGCTACCCAGCCGCCCCTCAAGTGAATTTATAAGTGAAAAGTGAGCCACTGTTACAGTTTATTTGGTGTAACCTTCCTTCCTCAGTATATAGCACATAGTGTATGCTGATGAATCATGTGCTGTTGATTTTAAAATCAGAACCCTTCAGAAGAGCTGGATGCCTGAGTGTCTGAAATGGCTTAGGACATAAACTGCTAAGAAATAATTTCAGTTCTCTTAAAGAAAATGCAGTTCCCTTTGTTATATATTCCTTACGCAGTACAACGGTAGTGAAAGATGTCTTTGTCTTTTTTCTTCTTTTCTGTCTTCCCTTACCCATGAGAAGTTAATGGTTTAAGGAAAATACTCCAAGCCCAACAGATCATGTCAAATATTTGGTTTGGTAGGATTAATATTTCACTGCAGAGCGACAGTGGGAGCGCTGTCCTAGTTTTAGGGATGATTATGTAAACTAATGAGCCCCATCCGTTAAAAAACTTACAGAAAGAGAAAGCTATTTATCATGTGGGCTACACTGACTGTACTTAGAAGACACTGAAGTAGGTATTAAATGCTTACAGTGGGGTTACATTTAATTAAAATTGTTCTTTTTATGATATTAAGGTTAATAATTATGACACTGTGCAGTTGTGTAATTTTTTCCCCCAACTCTCAGTGGTTTGTTATTCTGTGTCTTATTCCCCCATTGGCTTAAAATTGGCTTTTCACTTTACCTTCCTAGGCATTGTTTCCATTACAAGGGATCTAAAGAATTACACTTGGCTGGGGCAGTTGTAATTGTGTATTTCAACCACTAGAGGGAAGTGACTCTGTTACTTGTTCTGGGGAGAGAAGGTGTTTAATCTCTTTGATTCTGCTCCTGTTCATTGACCTTTAACCCAGAAGCGGTTATTCTTAGCATTGGGACCACCTCTGCCCCTGTTCCAGAGAAGAATCTGTGGGAAGGAAAAGACATAATCAAGGACACTGATCTAGGACTTGGTTTATAGTTACGTCTACCCAAAATGTAGCATCTAACCAGTTCCTTCCAGACGGCTCCCAGTAGATGAGCGGCTTTGCTGGGGAAAATGAGTGGTTCTCCCAGAAGCACTTCATCTAATAGTTTTCAAGTAGTGGTAGCATGATTAATACTTTAAAAATACCAGGTACTGTTCTCAACACTTAAAAAATACTAACATAACCCTACCAACAGTCCTGTAAGGTTAACTATTCTTATTCTAATTTTGCAGAACAGGACACTAAAGCACTCAGAAATTAAATAACTTACCCAAGATCCCAGAACTAGTATGAAATGGTGCTGGCATTACAACCTGGGCGGTGGCCTCAATCAGTGTCGTCAACCCCTATGAGATACCACCTCTCCATAAAACCCAGGTTTCTAGGCATGAACAGACATCCACGGAATTATGACCAGTTTGAGTCTGCAAAGGGGAAGATATTTTGGTTCAAAAAAACAGAAAAAGAAAACTGCAGAATCAAAATTTATACTATATTTTATCTATGAAAATATACTCTTTTTTTTTTACATTTTAACATACCTGATATCAGGTTGTTGGCTTCCAGCTTTTTAGACAAAATAAGATATTTGTCTGAAAATATAACATACTGACTCCATTAATCATTAAACAATCACAACAGTGTAACTTTGGGGAATCATTTCTATTTTAGATCTTTGCACTTTGCACTCCCAAGTAGGTGTGCTGATTGCTTAGATATGAACAAGTAGAAACTACTCACACCATGTTTCAGAGGACAAAAGGTTTGATGTGGGATGTGGGAATGTTTGACAGAGTGTCAAACAGGACTTTGAAAGGTAAGAATCCCCAGAACCTTGACATTTTAAAAAATGTCCCTGAATTGTGCTTCTCAATTCTCCGAAGCACCTTTTCACCATGTCTGTCTCTCCTCACACCTTCTAGTGCATAACCTGCCTGAGGCTATTTATTTTCCCTTAAGAAGTCAGTTATTTTCATCAAAATTTTAAAAAATCATTAACAGTAAGAACATTTGGGGAGAACAGTTTGTTTTCAAGAGTGATTTTTCCCAGTCATTGATCAGTTGAAGTTGTCCCTGTCCTGTGGAAGTACATGACAGAACAAAATTATTCAAGCAAATTGGGCAGAGTCTGTGGTATTTGAAAGGAGGCACAGCCAGTGTTGCCGGTATATGGGTCTAGCCAAGAGCTCTATTGACACACAAGTGTAGCCATGTGAAAAGACTATTTTTTATGGTAAATTGTTATTCCACCCCCACCACTGACATTTCGAAACCACCTCTTTTGAGGAAAGAAGTAGCATTTCAGACAGATTCTTAAGAGAGTTCCCAAAAATGTGCAATTAAATATTTACACTTGGCAAAAGTGATTTCCACCACTGTGTTTTAAATGATATTTGTATTTTGTGTCTCATTTTCATTAATTTAAAATTTTTTTAAATGTTTTATTCTGAGAGAGAAAGAGAGGGAGAGAGAGAGAGAGAGGCAGCATGAGCAGGGGAGGGTCAGAGAGAGAGAGGGAGATGCAGAATCTGAAACAGGCTCCGGGCTCTGAGCTAGCTGTCAGCACAGAGCCCGACGCAGGGCTCCAACCCACAAACCATGAGATCATGACCTGAGCTGATGTCGGATGCTTAACCAACTGAGCCACCCAGGTGCCCCATCATTTTCATTAATTTCTTAATCTATAGTCAGAGAATAGTCAAAGACTACACACACACACACACACACACACACACACACACACACACACACACTGTGAATTTTGCTTTTGTAGCTTTACTCTAGATCTCTCCCTTAGGGCTTTTTTTTGGGGGCGGGGGGGGGGGTCTCTCCAGCTCCAGCAAGCCTGCACAGATTTCAGATGGAGATGTAGAAGAAGTGACATTCAGACTTTAAGTTTGCCCAGTGTTGACAGCTGTATGGAAGGTTCAGTGTGACAAGAAGTTAAAATAATTTGATAAGGTGAAATGTATGGATTATCAGGGGATTTATTTTACTTATGTTTTGCATATTCTTTTTTAACAAACAAATTGAAATAAATTTTCAGATGGCCTTGGGAACTCAATTAATTGTTTTGAAATCAATAGATTTTATTTAGAAATACATTCTATTTATGAAGTTAGTTTTCATACACAAATTTAAAGAGCTGTCTGACCACAGCTATTCTCTATGATTTCATCTCCATTCATGATAATTTATCTGGTCATATTTCTCTGTGAGATTTTCTTAAAAATTAGTTAGCTACTCTTGAAAACTTTTAGACAGAAATCTAGAGTTTCCTGGAATCGGACAAGTAGATTCAATGTGACTTGACTGGGAAAACAAATGTTATTTATTTATTTATTTATTTTATTTACTGGGCTTTTTCTAGGACTATAGCATGTTAGGATTTAGTTCTTCCCTCCTGAAATGCCAATTCTTTGGATGAAGAATAAAAATAAGCATGATTTAGAATTGTGTCAGTGAAAACTTCTCAGGACAGGACTCTGAAATATAGGACCTTAAATTCCTACCTCACTCAAAGAAGCAGTCATTATATCATCTACTCTGAGATGCTGAGTGGGGTGGGAGAGGGATGTTACAGATTCTAGATATGACTTTCTTCCATACTTAGGATGTATTTATGAAAAAATGGCTGTCTGGGTCATGAGCTCTAGTCTGTTCATCTGTTTATTGTTTTCCACCTGTTTTTTTTTTTTTATCTTCTTCCCTTGGAATTAACACATCAAAAAAATTCAGTAATTTATGATATGGCTCATATTTATGAAACACAACAAAGGCTGCTTTTTCCCTTCCCCTCCAGAATTCTTGTTTGGGTACTTACATTAACCGATGGGTTCGATCCATAGACCACATGGTGAGTGATAGATATTCAACCCATTCAGAACTTCCATTGTCTACTTTATATTTTATAAGCATATCCTAAAATGCCCTTTGTAATTTGGTAGACAAGGCCAGAGCTCTCCTGTTAGGTAAATTACACTCAGCAGGCTTTGCTCTCCATTAAAGCTAAAAGTAACAAATAATGTGTCATTTTAGGTACCCTACAGATACTTGAGCTCACTGAAGTAAAACTGTTCCCATTTCTGGGACAGAATCACTGAATGAATCTTTCTGAGCCATGAATTCCATGGTATTCTTTTTTAAGTTTCATTTATTTATTTTGAGAGAAAGACAGTGTGAGTGGGGGAGGAGGGGAAGAGTAGAGAGAGAGAGAGGGAGAAGGGAGAGAGAACCTCGAACAGGCTCTGCACCGTCAGCACGGAGCCCGATGCAGGGCTTGAACCCACCAAACTGTGAGATCATGGCCTGTCCATATTATAGTTTTTAAACCTGTGGTACTAGGCACTAACAAAGGATTAATAAAAGAAATTATTACTTTGCACGGGAGAGAAAGGACTTTGATCATGTCACATGACATTCAAAATGCTCAGTGAGGATTATGTTTATCTTTTAGCCCCTAACAGTTTATTGTCCATTGTTTTTGAACAGTTGAAGTTGTCTCTCCCTGAGCTGCCACCAGAGACAGCCTTGACCTTCCCACTTCTTCTGTGTGTTTTCTTATCAAGGAGTGTTATTTGAAGGGAGTTGGAAGATGAGTTGGCCACAAGTCTTTTGAGGTAATCGTGGAGCAAGTAACTAAAGATGAGGAAACACTGTTAAAATGCATAATGTATTTTCATGTACATTAAAACAACAATAACAGAAGTGAAAGAGTAAAATAAATCACTTGATGAACTGTTTCCAGTTTTCCAGGATACCTGCACATCCTTTTCTGTAGGCATAGTGTTTATATATATATATATATATAGTTTATTTATTTTTTAAACAGAGAGAGACAGAGCATGAGTGGGGGGAGGGGGTAGAGAAAGAGGGAGACACAGAATCCTAAACAGGCTCCAGGCTCAGAGCCTGATGTCGGGCTCGAACCTACGAACCGTGAGATCTGACCTGAGCTGAAGTCGGATGCTTAACCGACTAAGCCACCCAGGCACCCCAGTAGGCATAGTGCTTTTGTGATACATAGTTACACTGCTGGGTGTGCTACTACTCTAACCGTGATTACACTACTTCTGAGGTTGTTTTGCAAGTACTGTAGTTACACTACTCTGAGGGTTTTTTTTTTTTTTTTGAAATGTATTGCCATGCTGTTATATATTTTATAAGGATGATTTGCTGGATGCATAATTAGTAAATAAGCCACCTCCCCTTGATGCCTGTGTGAACAATAAAACAGTGTCTACATCCAGGACTGATAGCCCTTTCAATGCCAGGATTTGCAGCTTCACTTCTATTTTTCTTTAATGAAGAGGGGTGGGGAGATGACCTGGTGGCCATTACTCTCAAGGAGCCTGGTTCACATTCTGATTGATATCATTCTCTAAACATACTCCGATAGTTGTAAGTGGGCTCTGCCCTATTCTTCATAACTTTCTCTAAAGCTTTCAGTTCCCCTTCAAGTATAAACCCTGCTGGGTAGGAACATCTTCAACAGTACCCACAAAAATGTTAATTCTTAGATCCTCAGTTGGGGTTGGTTGACTGCAGAGTTAGAGGAAGATCAAGATATAGAGATGGGAGGCACCTGGGTGGCCCAGTCGGTTAAGCATCCAACTTCGGCTCAGGTCATGATCTCAGGGTTTGAGAGTTAGAGCCCTGTGTTGGGGTCTGTGCTGACAGCTCAGAGCCTGGAGTCTGCTTTGGATTCTGTGTCTCCCTCTTTCTCTCTCTGACCTCCTCCCTGTTCATGCTCTGTCTCTCTAAAATAAGCAAACATTAAAAAATTAAAAAAAAAAAAAGAGGTAGAGATAGGCATTTGGCAGAGAGGAGGAGAGGCGCTAGGAGAAGAGACAAACAGGTGAGCTGTGTCTGTTCCTCCTAAATGGGCTGGAGGCTTTTGCTTTGCTGGTTGACATATGTGAGCCTGGAGCCCAGGCTGTGAGGGGGTGGCCTGCAGGTTGCAGACCTTGACCAACACTTTCCTGGTACTCAGAATGCTCATCTGTTCACTGCGGTGAGTTGGGAGGCGGTACATGTTCATCATGTCCCCAGAAGGACTGAATTTCCATCCTTGGAAGAAGATCACCCTGTCCGAGTTTGTTTTTAGTCATCTTTTCAGAGGATACCGAGTAACACTTTGCTTACTTCAGCCATGCTTGTTGTAAAGGATTGGTAAAAAAGCGAATAGTTGTGTTTTGGTTCATTTCTTAATGAATCATCAGAATCTGCCTAGAAGTCACAGACTTAAATTTTCTTCATTCTTTTTGTCTTTGTGAAGATTGTCAGCAATGACCATGCTTTAAAAGAAGAATCATCTAACCACTTGACAAAAGGCAGCATGGTTTTGGAAGTACCCCTCCCCACCCCAGGCTTATATGTAGAAGTTAGGGAAATAGAAAAATAACAGGTTTGTGTATGTTTTTTTAACCTTACAAAATAATGTATGTGCATCCATGAAATCTGATGAGTATCTATGACGTACTTAGAGGCATACACATGTGAACGGAAACTATCTCTGTACTCAGAATGCTTAAAATCTAGTGGAGAATTGGACCTGTCACAATTGTGCTCCAGTAAAAAGACTGCTATAAAAGAAGTGTTTGTAAGTATACAGTAAAATTGTGATCCAGGAGGAAAAACTCTTAGGTCCACAAAAGAAAGTCAGGCAGACTTAGCTGGAGAGGTGACCTTACATCTCTCACTTGAAAAATGTGTAGAAGTTTTCCAGGCAGAGGAGATGGAAATTCTAGGAACAGGGAACAGGACATGCAGAGGCAGTGAGGAAAGGCATAGCTCCTGCATCCGGGGAGGTTAAAGTAATTCAATCTTTCTGACATGTATGTATTTTTTCTTTATTATTGGAGCATAAACCACAAGGGGATGAGTGTCAAAGGATGTGGCCGGAAAGATAACAAGGGACAGTATTCATAAAGTATTCCGTTAAAGAGGTTTTGATTTCCCTCTGAGGAACCTCTCCGACTCTAATATGCATGAGATTCCTTCCCTCCTTCCTCCCCACCCCCACACTCCCGCACTTTGGTGGAATGCAGATTCCTGGGCTTCATGCCCAGAAATCCTGAGTCACTGGGTGTTCGGAAGCCTCCTCAAATCTGCATTTCTCATAACCACTCCAGGTAATTCAGTGATGGCTGGACAGAAACTGTACTTGATGAAATACTGCTAGAGTGGCGGAGAACCACTTAACTTTCTTTCCCAAGAGAGACAGTAAAATGATCATGAGTACAATTTAGGGCTGGCCGCTTTGGAGGGATAGTTCAGAGTAGGGAGGGTGAGGGTCTTTTATTAATCCAGGCAAGAGGTAATGGAGGCCTTGACCAGGGGGCCCTGTACAGTGTGAAAATCTGCTCTCTTTTCATTTTACATACCATGAGAGCTTACTCAGTTTACTTTGCTCTCATTTTCTAATTTTCCCAACTAGTGTATTTTTATAACATTTAAGTGAGATTTTTTTTCTACTCTCTTGAGTATTTCTGCTGTGTCCATGTCATCTGGCCTTATTTTTCTTCTATGATTGGTGTATTAGCATTTTTTATAATTCTCTATGTCCTTCATTTCCTAAAAGGCACCTATAGAGATCATTCTTATTTCACATCGATAAATACGCATCTATCACCCATCTGCCACTATATTGGATGACATGATCGACTGTTGCTATAGCTCTTAAAACTGGAATAACTTCTTTTAAAAAACTTTTTTTTTTCACATTGATTTATTTTTGAGAGACAGAGCGAGACACAGCATGAGCGGCGGAGGGGCAGTGAGTGAGGGAGACACAGAATCTGAAGTAGGCTCCAGGCTCTGAGCTGTCAGCACAGAACCCGATGAGGGGTGCGAATTTACCGACCATGAGATCATGACCTCAACTGAAGTCGGCCACATAACTGACTGAGCATCCACGAGCCCCACACTGGAATAACTTCTTTTTGAAAGTTTTTTTTTTTTAAGTATTCACTCATTCATTCATTCATTCATTCATTCATTTCTAGAATGCGTGGGGGAGAAGCAGAGAGAGAGGGAAACAGGATCAAAGCGGGCTCTTTGCTGACAACAGAGAGTCCATTCTGGGGCTCACACTTATGAACCATGATATCATGACCTGAGCCAAAATCAAGAATTAGAACCTTAACTGACTGAGCCACCCCAGTGCCCTGAAAGTTTCTTGATAACTATTAACTAGAATATAGTTGCCTTGTCTGATGTGACTTAACAATATTTTGGTTCAAAGAATGCTTGTGTAGTTGAGACCAGAAACTTGGTCTGTGCCTTTCAGCCCTCGCCGTCTAGCTAAGCAAAGACCGGAAAATCTGAGTTATCTAGCCTCATGGGAAATAACAAATTTGTGTTTGTTGGGAAGAGGGGAAAGGCAATCTGAAATTATAGCTAAAAGAATATTTTGAAATTAGGAACATTTGTTTTTATTGCGTACATGTTGACTAATGTTAAAATAGCACTTGCTCTTTCAAAAGTAAGTGATTTTTCTGAGCAATGAAAAAAGAAAGCCCTCATGTACAGCACAACAAAATAATTGTGGAATTCAGGACTGCTCACAGAAAATGCAGTCTGACCAGTCTGCAAATAACAACATATATATTCAACCCAAAACACAGCACTGTATGGATTTATAATCCAGTCAACTTTGAAAATACCCATTTGCCCAGTTGCCATAGACAGGTAAGGATTTATGTGTAGAAACAGTTATTTTTCATTTTTAGATTATGAAATCCCCAAAAGAGGAAAGACTTCATTTTTAAAGCAATTTCCGAACTTCTAAGGTTTTAAGGCTTTTACATGTGCATTTCATTTTGACAAAAGATGCCAATCTAATTTTAAGAAAATGTCCATGTCAAAGTATGTAGTTTTAAGTTTGTAAACTCTTCAGAGTATTCTAAAATTCACAGGAACATGAAATTTCAGGTCATGGTAAAAGGACTTTCAAATATATGGCTTCTGGGAATAGAGTTTTTTTTTTCCTAATTAAGAATAATAACCAACTTGACAATAAACCATTTAATTAAAAAAATGAAAAAAAAGAATAATAGGACTCATTGTTCAAAGAATATATATATACATGTATATATATATATATATATATATATACTCATATATGTGAGTATAATCATCCATAATCCCCCACTTAGAGATGGCCACTAAAAATACTTTGTTTAGTTCTTTTTTATTCCTATACACTCACATATTATAAACAAATATCATAACTGCTCCATTTCGTGTGGCGTTTTTTTTTACACAGTTTTCAGGAGCATTGCCTATTATGTATATTTTACAAATGTGGTCTTCCTTTCTTATGGCTACGGTAACAAATTATGACAATCTAAGTGGTTTAAAACAATGTATATTTATTCTTGTTCAGTTCTAGAGGTCACAAGCCTGAGATAGTTTCTCTGGGCCAAGATCAAGGTATGTGCAGGGCCCAGCTTCCTCCAGACACAGTAAGGGGGAATTTGTTTCCTTGACTTCTCCAGCTGCTTTCTAGACCTGCATTCTGTGCATTCCTTCATCCATCTCAAGACCCTTAATTTAATCACGTCTTCAACATTTCTCTTGACATGTAAGGCAACATATTCACAGGTCCCGGGGATTAGAACCTGGATGTCTTTGGATTCTATTGTAGTCTATCTTTATTGGTTTTATAGTGTTTCGTTTTATGGCTATTTCAGTTTTTATTAGCATTTGCCCTAATAAATTACACTTATTAACATTATTAACACCTGTACCTTTGGGTTTATTCACCCATAGTATGCTATGATAAGGAATTCTGAGATTAATTCCCATATGCATAAATGTTTGTGTATGTTGATCATATAAGTTCAAGGATGTCAGTTTATAGTTAAAATGTATATTTTTATGTGTATATTATATGTATATGTAGGCAGCACACATATACATTTATATGTGTGTATCTGTGTATATGAGAGGTATGTGTTGGTATATTTGTTTTTTCATTCTCCAGATAGCTTTCTAGATAATTGGCAGAGAGAACTTCTCTCCTTATGCTCTTAGCAGCGTCCTAAAATAGGATCTTTATTTTAATCTTTGCCAGTTAAACAGGTAAAAAGATATAAGTGGTGCTTTGAGTGCATCTCTATGATAACTTATTGGACTGAACTCTTTTCATCCTAAACATTATATTGTATCAAATAATATTTCTTTTAATATCTTTATTGGCAATGAAAATGACATAACGTAATAGATGTAGATATTAAGTTTGCTTGAGAAATCCTTGGCTAAAATATTTTGTGTCTTAACTAAAATAATAGCCTGTGATTTGTGGAAAAATTTGAATCAGCTTTAGCAAAGGGATAAAATTTGGATTGTTAACAGAAGTGCATGGTTTCTACCTCTATCTGTATATGCTCTTTATGTGGTACTTTGATGGAAACTCTTACCTCTTATTTTAATGGGATAGTTTTCCATAGCTTTAGATGTCTGACCTGGAAAAATATTCAAGAAAAGAACTGATAAATTAACTTTAATCTTACATTACAGAAAGGTCTCAGTGTCAGCTACTAAAGGGCTAAATATAACTACTCTGACCCACTTAAACCAAATTGACACTTGTAATAATTGCACTGTAATTCATGCTCGGGAGCTGGATAAGAAATGATGAACCTTAGACCGAAGCTTCTGGATCAAGAAACTCCATGTCCTTGAAGTTAATTCCAGATTGAGAGACTAATGCAATGACTAGTAACGGAGGGTCACTGTTACAGTCAAAAAGCATTTAGCATTTCATATAATCTCATTACTGTTGTATATGTCTACATACATATAGCTACCTATGCATGGTCTCTATTTTCTGAGATTTTGAAATCTGAAACAATAGATCTGCCCAACTGATACAGCATATATAGATAATGAAATGGACTCATGAAATTCAAGAGGAATAGAGCAAAAAAAGCTTTTGTAAACATGTACAAGCTGAGTCTGCAAAATATCAGGATTCTGTACCTGACTTTGCTGTCAAATATCTTACTAACCCTGAACAGATCTTTTTCCCCTTTCTCCTTTTTCTAACATTCATCTGAATGGGGATTCATTCATCTGTACTGAGGATTTAAAGATTTAAAGATGGAGGAGATACAGCCCCTTCCCTCTTACCCAAGGACTGATCTGCAAACAAACAGATTGTGATTTTGATGTGGTGGGAGAACATTTTTTCTGCAGAAGCTCTCAGGAACAGAGCCTATTAGAGGGATATTGAACCTGGTGGGGTTGGGGTTCCTTCTCAAAGTAAGGCTGCCTAGACCATGCGGCAAGAAGCTCGGTCTTACGGTATGATGGGGGTTAGCCTTCCTATTTGTCAGATGAGGGGGGCTGATCTCCAAGCCTGCTCTTGGCTCTAAAACTGGATTGCTTAGTTCTGTTAGAGGCCAGTACTGAGTGTCAGCTTTTAGCAGATCTTCCGGCAGCTGGTTTAGAATGGAGAGGCACACTCATCTCTGGCTCCCTCTCACTCATCTCCTGTAGGGTGACCCTTGCTGCCCTGGAAGGATGATAGCCTTTTTCTGTCCACTTCTGTCCTAGAGCTCTGACAGACTCAGTATGAAGCTTCTCCCAGGATCTTTTCTTGCTGGAAAGTCAGAGAATGGAGGGCTAGGATAACATGCTTGCAGACAGTGATTATGATGCCAAACTCAGTCTCTATGCTGGGCTGCCATCCATCACGTTCTACTCCTCTGCTCTGTCTTACACATCAAGTAGTCTCTCGTTTGGGAGAATAGTACTTCCTTGCTCATAATCATCTCTTCTCTCCTCTTGGATTTTTTTTTTTTAAGTTACTGGTTATTTGCTACATTTCCTGAGTCTATGATTCTCCTGGGATCCAAGGAGTACCTCCTTGGTTAGGTTCCTTTCCCCTTCTAGCTTCTCCTTTGCTCTCTTAGACCTTGTCCTTCAAAGCCCTTGGGAATTACGTATTTCTCTGTCCAAACTGTCAGGAAATATAAATCAATTTTATTGTGTTTCCTTTGTTTTATCTACTCACTTTGTAAATGTGAATCTACCTTGAAATATTGTTTAAAGATTTTTTTTCATAGTCTTAGGATGATGTAATCTTACTTATGATCTGTCTCTTGGTGTTGAGCATTTAGCCTGTCCCTACAAGTTAATTTTCATTTACCTTTTTATATTCTTTGATAGTTTGGTAACATGAGCAAAAAAAATGTTTAATAACACTACTAGTTTTTTTTCAACGTACTCCACTTCACATTTCTAGCACAGCCTTTAAATTTTACTTTTTTAAAAAAATGTTTTATTTATTTCTGAGAGAGAGAGAGAGAGACAGACAGACAGACAGACAGACAGCATGAATGGGGGGGGGGGGTCAGAGAGAGAGGGACATACAGAATCCGAAGCAGACTCCAGGCTCTGAGCTAGCTGTCAGCACAGAGCCTGATGCGGGGCTCAAACCCACAAACCGCGAGATCATGACCTGAGCCGAAGTCAGATGCTTAACAAATTGAGCCACCCAGGTGCCCCTAAATTTTACTTCTTTTTAAAAGATCGCTTTTTAAAAAAAATTTAATGTCTTTTATTTATTTTTGAGAGAGAGACAGTGTGAGCAGGGGAGGGTCAGAGAGAGGGAGATGCAGAATCTGAAGACAGGCTCTAGGCTCTGGGCTGTCCCAGAGCCCAATGCAGGGCTCAAACCACGAACCATGAGATCATGACTTGAGCTAAAGTTGGGTGCGTAACCTACTGAGCCACCCAGGTGCCCCTAAATTTTACTTCTTAAGATGTGCAGTGATTACGAGGATTGCTCATTCAGGATGGTCAATTTGCTCTTTCACACTTCTACGCTTAAATTCACAAGACAGCATTTAGAAGGTGGCCAAAGTAGACCTGTAGGTGTGGACAGCAGTGGGGAAGGAGTCACTCCTAGGTGCTCTAAAGATGGGAATGGATAGTAGTCAAACTTAGTTTACCGCATAGTCCCCAGACTAGGTGGAGATCAGGCAGAATACATTTGGAAACTCAGTATCAACACAACTTTCCATAATGTCTTCTTATTGGAATTAGCCTTGTGACCAGAGGGTCAGTTCAGGGAGCGGACAGCTTCCTAGGCCATTCAACTGCACTAGAAAGCCTAGTTCCCCACAGTGTTTAAGTTCAGGGAAGCCTCAAGGGATATTATCTTCAACACTGTTCTAAGAATGTAGGAGAAAACCCTATTGAATGGGCATGGAGCAGAGGGTGGGAAGTAGAAGGGAGAATTCAAATAGGTGAAAAGAACATGGAATTCTTTGTACAGGCGAAGGCAATGAACAGTGAAGAATCTGACCCATTCTTAAGTAATCATTTTATCCTAAGCCAGCATTTCAGTAGCATGACAAGTTTAGTTTTCATTGTCATTTACCTTTCTTATAAAAACAGTGACTGATAATAGGATCTGATTAAATGAGTGAGCATTCTGGATCACAAAACCTGTCCATTACTGTGTAGGCTTAGTTATTGTGCAATAGGTAGAAAATCTTGCTAAATATCCCTATATTGACTTAGACCGGCTATAGTCTTAGGAATTTCCAATAATCTCAATTTCCTCTTAGTTCTTCAGCCAGTTTTACTGTACTTGCAACTAAACTATACTCCAGTTTCTGCCCATATAATTATTTTGTCTGTAGGAAAATGTCAGTAGTTCTGACAGTTTTAATTCTTGTGTTTGCTGACTGCATTATCTTCTGAATCATAGGTTCCCAAATCAAGTCAAACAGGTTAGAAGACAAGTTACACTTGAATGTCACACCTACTCTTATCATAATGAGTGTGGGAATATATTAGCCACTTTCACTGTATTAAGCAGTTCATTTCTGGCTTTTCACACAGTTTACTTAGTTTTATTTTTTCATTTTGGATACAACCCAAATTTTCCCTAGCCCATGTTAAAGTACATGTAGTTTTAAAAAAAATTATGTTTTTACCCATCCCTTTGAGAATCTGCTGGGTGGGTTACTCAGAATGTATGGGTGGAGAATGTAATGACATCTGCTCATAGGCCAGGATATTTATCATTCAGTCAAGAGAAAAAAATGTTTTATGCATTTATTTACCCATTTTAGTTATCACTAATGCTCAAATACCTGGGCTTTTCAGGAAGAAATGGAATTCGAGAGTTGAGAGAGAGTCATGAGGTCTTGGAACCATCCAGAACTTGATGTCTGTACCCTCACTGCATCTCCTTCCGGTTACCTCTACTCAGACACCCTTATAGGAGGTCCCTTCTTGGTTTTTCAGCCTTTTTTATCTTCCAGTCTAAAGATGCTTCCTCATTGTTATTTCAGTGTTCAAGGACAGCTGTCAGACTCCCTAAAATTCTCTTTCTGCACTTTCAACACAGAGTTTCTTCAACATATAATTTATTTTTTTTAAATTGCGAGGTGGAGGGTGTGGAGGGGCAGAGAGGGAGAGAGAAGAGAGAGATTCCCAAGCAGGCTCTGCATTGTCAGCATAGAGCCTGGCATTGTGGGGCTTGAACTCACAAACCATGAGATCATGATGTAAGCCAAAACCAGGAGTCAGATGCTTAACTGACTGAGCCACTTAGGTGCCCCCAACATGTAATTTATATAGCACACTTTCATGTCCCCTTTTACCATCTTGGTGGTTCTTCTCTGGGCAGCCTCTAATATGTAATCTTTCCTCTTAAACTTGAATACCTGTAAGTGAGTACAACAGCTGTTCCCTGGGCTTCCCTTTCTAGATGGGCGTGGTGAGTGGGATTCAAAGAATTTCTCTTAGTTTTAGTGGTGACATTTCTTAGAGTAATGTCAACACATAAGGAATGTTAGTACTTCTCTTTTCAGTTACAGAATATGGATAAAAATTAGTAAGAGAAATTCTTTAGAACGTAAGAGTATCTTCATGGAATTCTTAAGAAGTTGAGATTCTTTGAAAAAATCAATTAACCTGCTACCACTGATCATTTTAGGGCATTTTAAGAGAAACAGACACCCAAGCATCTGAAGTGTCTCCATTTAGAAAGCATTTATGGATTCTGTGTCTCCTTCCCTCTCTCCCCCCCAAATACAAATAGACATTAAAAAAAATTAAAAATACCCTTTTAAATCCTTAAAAAATTTCTTTTTGTTGAACTATGGAGCAAAAAATACTGAATCAAGTTCCTAAGTATCTGGTGAAGTGTATTTTGTCACTTGTTAAATTGAGAAAATGCTGCCTTCCTTTTCTACCACAGTAGACTTCAAGGATCTCAGGGGAGCTCAGTGAGAATTTCAGAAGATGACGGGTAAGAAAACCCTATACAATAATTATCAGAAATGCCTAGAGTCCTTGGGGTGAAGCTATTTCTAAGAGTCATAAGAATTAGATAAAGAGGATCCCGAAGTGCCCTCCTGTTGTCTGCTTACCTCAACTACCTGTCAGCTGATCTCTCTTCCCTCGTCAACGCTCCTATTTCCTAGGTGAACGAAACCATTTTTTAGAGGTCCTTTTTTTTTTTTTAAATCTTGTTTTAAAATTTACTATCTCCATCTTACGCCAGATTTAAGGCAACTCATTTAAATTCTAATTTTCTTCAGTATAGACTTTGACGCAACCATTTGTGTCTTTAGGGAGTTCTTTGAATTCCATGCCTTTCTCGCAGACGAACAACAAGAACGTTGGTTTCACCTTCCCTTCCTTCAAGTCCTGACACATGTGGAAGAGAAATCATCCTAGCGTTTGTTGACTAAGTGCCCGGGAGCGTCTTTACAGGTAGTAGCCGGCCGTTCCCTGGATTTGGTGCAGTCCGCGAAGCCCCGCAGCTGTGCCTGTCATAACTCATCAACTGGATGTAAACTCATAAATACAGTTGACTGAGGTTTTCGGGGAGTGTGGCCTCCCGCTGGCGTGCTTTTCCTACACACAGCGTCTGGGCAAAGAGTAATTACGGACTTCCTACGAGTGTTTTCATGGGGACCCATTCCGCCGTGAATCACAGGCCAGCCCTCAGGTGCGCGGCGCGCACACTTCCCCGGGTGCCGGCCGCGGCGGGACTGAATTATTTACTTGCGGGGAAGGATCCATCTGCGGCGGCGGGCCGGGGGCGCTGCGCGGGCCTGCAGCTGCGGGGGTCCGGGCGGCCCCGGGCTGGCGCACCGGTCCCCACCCCCCTCACCCCACCCCCCAGCCGGCCCCCTTTCCCATGAGGCCCCGCTCCCGGGGGAGGGTCCGCCGGTGGGGACGGGGCCCCGGCCCAGCCCAGCCCAGCCCAGCCCAGCCCCGGCCCAGCCCCTGCCCTCGGAGGCCGCACGAAGGTGTCCTGTTCAAGTCCGCCTATAGGCCAGCTCTCTGCAAGTGCTTTTAAGTTTCCTTTTTTTTTTTTTTTGCGGAGGGGGAGAAGAGGCGCTTTTTCCATTTCAGTTCTTTTCCTTGTATGTAGATACGGAAAGGAAACACGGCACTGGGCATGTTCGGATGTTGAATGGTTTGCTGATAAGCAACAGCCTCCCGGAACCGAAGCCTTAAAATAGTCGTCTACCCCCCACCTCCCCACCCCCCGCAGGAGCTGCAAATGGTATCTGCCAAACAGATGACAAAGTACCTTGGACTGAATCACACACAGACAGCATTTTGTGCAGAACGCACGGCCCAACTCTTGTAATTACTGTTTATAGCTGCCCAGGGCTGACCATGAGAGGGCAAACCCAAGAGGAAATAAGTTTCCTGAACCTTGGAGAAATGGCTGTGTGTTAATTAAAGGGTAGGACGGGTACTTCTCAGGCTCCAAGTTGTTCTTGAGATCACAGTTCACAGCACGTTTTCTCTGGAGGGAGTGAGTAGATAATTGGGATTTTTTTTTCTTTTTTTCTTCTTTTATTTCTTTTTCCGTTCCCCACCCCCCACCCCTCCCTGGTGTGGCCTTATGGCCTTGAACCCGCGGTGAATTGAAGAGAGAAGGAAATGGATATGTCTGACCCCAATTTTTGGACTGTGCTCTCAAACTTTACTTTGCCTCATTTGAGGAGTGGGAACAGGCTTCGGCGAACACAAAGGTAAAAACCGCGGGGAAACTTTGCCTGGAGAGGGAGTGTGTTGGCTTTGGTGGCGGCAGGCTGCCTGAGCCCCTTAGCAGCTGGGGTTCTGTTGAGACGGTGGGAGTTTGAAAAGTTTCTGTCCTGCCAGGGGGGCACTGTTTCAGGTATTCTGCCATCCTCGTGGATTTCCTGGGTAATCCTGGTGGTCTGTGCTTCCAGAGTTGTTCTCCTTTTGAAATGTGGTCCAGGAGATGGGTTATGAGTAGAGGGGAGAGGAAAAGGGGAGAAGGATACTTTGTCCAAGTGTGTCTCTGATCAGATATTATTCATCGTTTCCTTCACCCAGACTTCTGAGGTTTCTGCTGCTTTTTGTAGAGCCTTTCATATGTTACTTTGTATTAAATACTTGACCTTTATAAGATGCAGATGTGCAATGCAAAGATAGCTCAAGATAGCCTGTTTCCTATTGTCTTCTTAAAAGAGACCGGTCTGAATAACTTTGCCATTGTGGAGGGTTTTTTTGCTTTTGTTTTTTACTGGTTTCCTGACGTTTATTGCTAATAGATGTTGGCCTTTTCAGTTTGTTAAATACCTGATAGAATAGGTGGCAGAAAAGACCATTGTTAAATCAGGATGAACCTGGTGGCAAAAGTGAAAAGCAGTTCAGAGTTCGTTGCGGACACTCAGATTGAAAGATGATTTCAAAGGAAGCGTTTCTCTTCTGTCTGTTGTGTCCAGCACAGAAAGGTGGCATTATTGTGTTTTTAGAGGGACATGCCTTCTGAGTTGCTTTAATATGGATTCTTAGTTTTTCTTCCAAACTTGACTTGCACATACACGTGAACGTGCATAAGAGCAACAGTGCGGCGGAATAAACAGGATGCTGGCTATCAGATTTGGAGCTTCTTAATCTCTGGGCCCCAGTGTCTCAGGAACACAAGAACATGGTGTATTCTCTTTTTAATATCTGAAATGTTTTGTAGCATAAATGCAGATATGTAATACTTTGGAAAACTTTTGAAATTTCCTGTCGTATTTCTTAGATTCCAGAAGCACCCTGGAATGCTCTCAAGTGTTGTATTTGTATATGTGCATGCACACACACATATAAAACACATACGTATATGTTTGATTCTGAGTAGATTTTAAAGTCATCTTACCTTTAATGCAACTTGGACAGCATTGGTACCAATGAACCACGCTAGATTCTAAACTTGTGCTATTTAAATAAGGTAAATGTGCTTTTCTTGTTCTGCTCTATATGTTCAGAGACCTTATCTTTTGGTGTTGGTCATTTTTGTTCAAGGTGTGTCATCCATGCACCACCACCCCACCCAGCAAAATAAACACAACTAGTTAGTTGATGAGATAATGCTGTCTATGAACAAGCCCACTACTTTGATGGCAATAAAGGCTTTAACTTCTTATCTTTTCAGTTTGTCAAGGGCCCTTAAATATTCCTCAGTGGTTTAGTCCTGGCTGTGATGCAATCTCTACTCTCACCTGGAGCCACTTCTTCTGCCCTGATGTCACACCTGTGTGTCTGAGCCTGAAAAGCAGCTGGAGCCTCTCGTCACCCTATGTACCTGTTAATATTATTGAGCGAATTATCAGGCCAGTCTGACCCTGACTTTCCAGCCTAGGGATTCTAGTTCCGGCCCAGAACCCTTCAATTCAGACAGTTCACACTGACAGAGAGCCTAAGTTTTGAAGTCGCTTAGGTTCTTCCCAGCAAAATGGGAGAGTGTGGGAGGGCTTTCTCTGCTCGCCAAGTCATAGACCCGTTTTTTCAGTTCAGGAAAACAGAAAAGGGGATGGATTTTCTTCCCTCCCTTCTATTAGTGTAGGTTGTCACAGCCTGTGTGTTGCTGGGCATTTCCAGGATTCCCATAGTTTGCAAATAGGTGTCCTGGAGATCCTCTCTACACACATCTACTTACTATTGGTCTCAAAGGACCAACGCTGCTTTATATTTATTATGTAGATTGGGAAACATGAAGGGCAGGTGTCTTCCTGGCCAGGGCGGTGTATGTAGCTGTTGCATTCTCTTATTATACAGTGATCACTTCTGGCTCTGTGTCCTTCCCTGAGGACATGTAGCATATGCTTACAGTAGGACTCTTCCCATTCTCTGACCTCCCTTTCCTGCTCTGAATCCTGTCTCCTCCAACCCCCACATTGACCCCATTCCTCAGCTGGCTCATCAGGTTCCCTTCATCTGTCCCTTCAAAGGACTTCACCATCCTCAAGTTGTCCCTTTAGCCAGCCTCATTGTGACTGCGGCCGACGTCCAGATGAGGACCCTAGCCCTCAGGTGCATGTGCTTTGCCCTGGGAATATCTGTTGCCCCAGCCTTGCTTTTCTACACCCTTGCTCACTTGGTCTGACAGATCATTCATTTTACATGTTTTTTCCCAGCTACTTGTTCTGATTAATTTAGCAGTTTAGAGGACTTCACCTTAATCTTTTCTTTAATATCAGCTCCTTGCGTCTATCAAAGACTAAAATCCAGCTTTGAGCATGTGATGGAACATCCTAGAGCTCTTTGGGATAAGATATTTGCATCACTCAGACAAAAAAGGGAGAAGTTGAATGGTTTTCCATTCTTGCCTTAAGGCTGTATCGTACAGGACATTGTCATCACGGAATCCTTTTTGATTTGCTCCATCACATTTGCCTTGCCAGTTCCGCGTGACACTTGTTGGTTGGTTTGCTCTGCTAGAGGAAAACATTGAAGGTTTCTTTTCCAGCGTGGCCTGCCTGGGCCTATAACTTCTAAATCCCTGAGTTCTTGGAGAGAGGATCCCACAGACCTAATCTGAGGCCTACTGTAAGAACACAGTATTGATGAACTGACAGCCTGATTGCTCATCCTGGGTCCCAAAGACCATTTATTGATCCCTTCATTCTTTTTTGTCTTGACTGTGGCAGACAACACTTGTCTGGGTCCACACTGACTTTGTGTTTTGCTGTAAAGCTCACATATTCTGTTGGACTGGTATTTTTTGTTTCTAATCACATCGTCTTTATTTTAAGGGAAATTCTTTTTTTGTAATTTTATGAACAGTTTTATAAATAATCTATAAAGTCGTAAGCCCTTCAAAATATCCTTCCTTTCTCTTGCCTTGCTGTCAAATTCTGTGAATGATCGTAAGTGACACAGTCTTAAGGTATATACTGCTAGGGAATTTTTGCATGGAAAAAAACCTCATAGCTTCTGCCCACAGAATATTAGCAAATCAAATCTATCTAGCACCGTATAAAAATAATTAAGCATCATGACCGGTTGATCCTGGGTATACAAAGGTGTTTCTTCACCAGAAAATCAGTGGAATCCATCACATGAATAAGCTAAGTGAGGATTATCACAGGATCACAGAAAAAGAGCTCAACAAAATCCAGTACTCACTCATGACAAAAACTCTCGGAAAACCAGGTACAGAGGGCAACTTCCTCCACTCGATGAAGAATATCTACAACCTACACCTCACACCATAACTTACTACAGTAGTCCCCCCTAATCTGTGGTTTCACTTTCTGCCATTATCTGTGGTCAGCTACAGTCCCAAAGCAGATGATAGTGGCCAAATACTGGTTCACACTGCCTCCATCATTCGTCTCGCGTCCTCTCATCATGTAGACAGTTTATCATCTCACATCATTGCAAGAAGAAGGATGAATACAGTGTAATAAAGTTTGAGAAACAGAGACAGACCATATTTGTGTAACTTTTGTAACACTATAATTATTCTGTTTTATTATTAGTTACTGTTGTTAATCTCTTACTGTTCTAAATTTATGAATTTTGTTATATATGTAGAGGGGGGAAAAGTGTATATGTAGGATTCATTACTCTTTGCAGTTTTAGGCATCTTCTGGAGGATTTGAAACATATCCCCTGTGAATAAAGGGAATTGCCATAGTGAGACGCTTAAGATTTTCCTTGCTAAGATCAGGTAGAAGGCAAAGATGTCCCATCTCATCAAGCACTCCTTTTTGACAGGAAATAGTTTCTTTTTTGATGTCTGCTGTGATCTCCTTTGCCCCTCGCTCGTTTCCTCAAGGCTGACTCAATACAGCCCTCCACCTGCTGCTTTGAGGGACAGAAATTGATGGCTGCTTCATGGTACTATTGATGTTGATGACCCTTTTCTGCTGTTGGATTAAAACTTTTGGGAGGAAGAAGATCAAGCTTCTCTTTTACTTATATCACATATGTAAAGAACTGGTTACCATTTGATTTATAAATATTGCTGCTCAGTTTTGAGGGGCAACTTTAGTGTTGCTGATGCACAATCTAGAGAATCTAGAAGACACTCAATTTTCAACGTTAAGAGTCCGAAATCTGTCATGTTTTCATTGGGCTAATGTGACAGTATCCAGATCTCAGTGACACCTAAATCAAGTGTCATTGTCTATCCCAATGAGCAGCTTGTGACTCACTTTATCACTTGGAACAAATTTCCTAATGTATTTTGTCAAGAACCCATGGGATAAAAGTTGGTTTGGTTTTTTTCTTTTTTAATGTTTTTTCTTTTTCTTTTTTTTAACTCCTAATACTCAGCAGTTGTTCTGAACAGCAGGTACATTCAGGGATCTTTAACTGCCGTAGTTGCCAGAATGTATTGAATTTTTATGTATGCTTCATCTTCCTTTCAGAAACATCTGTAGTGTTTGATGAGTTTTTCTTTCTGTTTTCCTCATGAATACGTGTCTCTAAAAAGTATGAAGAATACACTTCTCTCTTGTCCTGACACGTTGGGTATTAATGAATTTGTACCCACCCCTTTTACGGGAAGTCCCGTTAAATCCACATTTACTGAGCATCTATTGTGTGCCTGGGCACTGTGGCCCAAAGCTGAGTCATAGGCTTGCCTTCAGTGAAGACATGCAAATGAATCATTGCAAACCAGGGGAATAGAGAAGTATTTTTAAGCTAGATATAAGCCATAGGAGTGGTGAGTGGGTAAGAGAGACTTTGGTCCCAGAGAGCCAAAAGAGAAGCCATATGGAAAAGG